TCCCTTCTCCTCCATTCTCCTCTTGGGATCTTGGGCATGCACGCACATGCGCCTGGCATGAGTTTAAGCTACCGGGTCCAGGACTCAAACTGCGGTCAACTACATGGGCGTCCAGCAACATAGCCGTTACACTAACTGCTGGTCCCAAAATTATTTATTTATTTATTTATTTAATTAAATTTGACCAGAGAGGGACACAGTTGAGAGAGAAGGGGGGAAAGTGTGAAAGCAAGCCTCCAGGTCCAGGAGTTGAATTGTGGTTAGCCATGTGGGAGTCCAGCACCCTTAACCACCATGACACTTCCTGGTCCCTAAAGTGTGTATATTTTTACACACACACACACACACACACACACACACACACACACATTATCTGAAGCAAACCTAGTAACTGTTGACTCTAGATGGTGCATATATGGGGTTTATTATACTGGAATGTTTAAGCTTTTTTTTTTTTTTCAATGAATCATTTATTTATTTAATTTTGTTATTATTATTAAATTTGACCAGAGAGAGAGAAAAGGAAAGTGTGAAAGCAAGCTGCCCTGTCCAGGACTCAAACCATGATTAGCAATGTGGGAGTCCAGCACTCTACGACCATACCACCTGTCAGCCCATAAACTTTTTTATAATAGAAAGTAAAAGAAAAAATAGTAACAAATAGTAACAAAAAACATGAACATTAAATGATAAAAATGATTCAGTCCAGTGCCTAAACATGGCCCAAGGCTTTTGGGATTAAGAGTCACAGGGCCAGCAGATAGTGTAGTGGTTACGTTGCTGGACTCTCACATGGCTGACTGTGGCTTGAGCCCTGGACCCAGTGGCTTGAAAATCATGCCGGGCACGTGTGCATGTGTGCTCAAGATCTGGGGAGGAGGATGGAGGAGAAGGGACTGTGGCGTGGCCATCCCCTCTGCGGGGGAGGGGTGATTTCTCACTTTCCCTCTCACTGTCTCTGTCTCTCTTGCTCTCTCTCTGGCAAGTGCACATTCCCCTGTGGCAAAAACCTCTTTAAAAAATAAATAAAAGTTACATCATTAAAAATTAACAACTTGCAAAGGAATAAGTCTATTTTGGTACTTGATGTTTTGCTTCTGTGATTCTTCAAAACGGACTTAGAAATCTAATGATTCTTTTAATGCTCTCACCTGCTGGCCTCCTTCTAATTTCTTGTTCAGCTTCTGCAGTTGGGTAAAAATCTGCAGGTTTTCTTGCTGGAGCTTTTGTTGTTCAGCCAGACATTTCAGCACCAGGCCCTGCAGTCGCTCCACCTCCACCTGCAGAGTGCTGCACGCACAGGCAGGGGCCAGCGGTGCTCCCTTCTCAGCACAGGTCTTGGCGGGAATCAGCCGAGGTGGCTAGAGAGACAAGAGGGCGGGATTGCAAGGTGTTCTGCCTGGTGCCACGGCTCCCCAGTCTACACTTCCTCTAAGAGCAATCAGATTTTACTTTCAATGAGATAAAACATATATACACATAGACACACGCGAGAGGAACAGACTAATGCTGGGATTACAAGAGCATCTGAAACTAACAGAACAAGGCAAAGGAGCTCTCAGTGCCTCGGACCCCGTTTGGCTAAGGTACGACAGTCATCTATTCTGAAGGGCTTTGTGAAAAGTTACCAAGTACTTTGATATGTTCTCGTTTAAAATGCTGAAGTGGGGAAAAGCATGATTTATTGGGTCTATGCAAAAAAAAATGTGGCATGACTTTTCTGATGATCCAGTTTGGAACAAGTACTTCTGATCACAGGTAGGATGCTGTGATCCAAAGGGTCAATATTCATGAAAAGTAGAACATATTTGAAAGGTATTGAGTAAATAGTATCGCCAACACTATTTGAGAAGGCTGACAGAGGAATTACAACATTCACTTTGAAGTTTTGAAGGTTTTGGGAAGCTTTTCAGTGATCTTAGTCTGAATTGTCTCCCTTCTTCTACTGCCCCTTGTTTATAGCAAGGGGTAGCAAATGACAGCCCATGGACCAACGCCAGCTTACTGCCTGTTTTTGCAAATCAAATTTTATTGGATCACAGGCAAGCTTATTCATGTATTATCTGAGGCTGTTTTGGGCTGTAATGTCAGAGCTGAGTAGCTGCAAGACTATGTGACCTGCAAAGTCTACTAAGTACAATGATTTTACTACGTGGCCCTTGATAGGAAAAGCTCAAGACACCTGGCACTGAGGCAGTCGCCACCACTTCACTGCCACTAAGGTTCAATACACATGTGCTGTGCCCTCACTGGATGGACCACAGTGTTACCTCTTACTGATATTTACAGCCTCCAACTCATCCTAGCAGTATTCATGAAGAACTGGATCTGAAGTTTGGAATTTCAATTTTGATGCTTCTGAGACAGAGAAAGAAAAAGGCAGTCCTTTGGTATAGAAAGGCATTAGCCTATCAGAAACATGGAAGTGTAAATGCCTTTCCAAGGCAACCCAGGTCAGCCTTGAGTGGACGCTTTAAGTACTACTGAATTGAGGATGTGAAGAGTTGGTGCAAGGCAGATAGAAGGACAAAAGCCAGAGGAAGAGACAGTGAGGCCAGGAGAACCGGGCATTGTTCACCTCGTTGTGATTCAAAGGCAAAAAGCTCAGTTACCCAGGCTCTCATGGAGGGCTTGTGTTCAGAAGGAGCTTCAGAGGCCATTTTGAGTTCTTGTAGCTCTTCATAGGGCAGGGTATCTTTCTCAGATTCCGAAAATCTGGTACTTAGGGGTGATGGGCTGTCAGGCATGGGGATAAATTCTGCATTTTCCAGCTCCTATGTATTGAAAAAGAATCCCATCAGTTCTGTTTGCAGCAATTTACTTTCTCCCAAATTCCTTTCTTTCTTTTACCCTAGCTTTCATCTATAACTTGAGCTTTAGCTACAGCTATAGTTTGTTTGTGACATCAGCACCCTCTGCTGGGGCAGGACAGTTGTGGGAAACAACTTATCTGACCCCACCTGAGGACAAACTGCCATCCTTCCATCAGAGGACTAACGGTGATGCAAAAGTCCAACTCAAATTCGAGAACACGGTTTGGAGTGTTTGGGGTGTTTCCCTAACGCATTTAATCTACACAGGCTATTCAGTGAGTTGGGCAGCTCTGCAGCGATAGTAAAGGCCACCTGCCAGGCCGTTAAGGTGGATATGGAGCAGCGTGCAGCTTCCTCTGTTCACACTCCTCAGATAACTATCGAGTTCTGTGTTACTGCACGGGGAGCTCTAAACCTGCAGATCCTTTTTTATTTTTTATTTTCGGTAAAAAATTTAAAACTTCACAACTAGTTGAACAGTTCACTGTGGAAAATAAGAAAATGTAACTGGTCAATGGAAACAAATAAAAACCGCCATCAATTCCATCACCCAGAGAAAACCACTCTTAAAATGATTGAATCTTGACATTTTTCCATGCATTACATATATTCTAAATGAATGAGATCATACTGACACTCCAGCCTTTTCTGCATAGCCATATGTGATGACCAACTTTCCATATAAATAATTACACTTTCAACATTTTTACTGGACCTCAGCTTTCATAAACCATCTTCCTATTGAAGAGCATTTCGATTTAGTCAATATCTCACTTCTATAAATGATAGTACAAGATCAGTAAGCTTAATTTTTGCACACGTGCACTACAACTGCCTTCAATGCATATTAATTGATGTTTACTTAAGAAATGTCCTCATATCTGTATTACTTTATCTCTTCTCATTGTAAAGAAAAATAAAAAAGATGAGCAATTTGGTGATTTTTTTCCCTAGAATTCTTGCTACAAAACAATTTAGTGGGACATGGGGAACTGAGAGATCCTGACAGCTTCTTTCTAGTCCCTGCAAAGGGGCTGATAGTTGATCTGAGGTAGCTCTTGCAAAGGAATTACCTTTCGAAGCCAGCCAGGACAGGAGCTGCTGGCCCCAATACTGGTCCCTATGGCCTCTGTGGGACTGATTAAACCTTCCATTCCTCGGTCTGCTTCCATTGTTCCTCGGAAGCCTCCACTTGGATCAGGAGTTTCAGATTCCTGCGAGTTTCTGATTCCGGCTGACTGTCCTCCTCTTCTCCACCACCACCACCGCTGCCAACGCCTCCCGGACCAGGGCTCTGAACCACTGACAGAACACAGCACAGAAACAGAGAGCTTTGCTATGCAGCAAGGAAGACCTACCATCTGACAGCTTTACTTAGCTCTGGAAAGGTCCCTCGAGTTGTGTGAAGTGGAAGGGCAACAGTGCCAAGTCAGATATTTGGGACTAAGTTTTTGGGGTTCTCTTTTCCCCTACTGTTTTTAATTTTGTTTTGACAGGGTCTCACTATGTCATGATCCTCCTGCCTCAGCCTTGAGAGCAGCTGGGATTACAGGGGAATACCACCATGCCTGGCTTTCAGGGTGGCAAGGGATCAAACCCATGTGGCCCATCTGCAGGGTAGCGGTATCAACACACACACGTGGGGGTAGGTGATGGCACAGTGTGGTGGAGCTAGATCCACATGGAGGATCTGGTCCTGTCCTGGAACCTCCCTGGGCACACTGGACACGTCATGTTGCCGTGGTTTGGACCAGCTGAAACTGGGGGTAGGTTGTGGTGTGGAGACCCTGTTGGGGATGCCTGTCTTTTTGTCTCATTCTCTCTCACGGGATAAAGTAATAATAAACTTAAAAAAAAAAAAAAGACAAAAAACAAACAAAAGCAATGCATGCTACCATGGCTGGGCCAAATGTTTGTTTTTACACATGGTGTTCTCGTTTTTTTTTTTTTTTTTTTTTTTCCTTTTTTGGAGAGGTTTTTGCTATAGGGCGCATGTGCTTGCCAGATAGACAGAGAGAGACAGAGAGACAGAAAGCGAGAAATCACCCCCCAGGGGGGATGGCCATGCCACAATCCCTTCTCGTCCATTCTCCTCTCGGGATCTTGGGCATGCATGCACCCGCGCCCGGCATGAGTTTAAGCCACTGTGTCCGGGACTTGAACCGCGGTCGACTACATGGGAGTCCAGTGACATAGCCATTACGCTAACTGCTGGTCCCAGTGTTATCTTCATTTTTTTTTTTTTGAGAGCTTTTTGCTATAGGGCGCATGTGCTTGCCAGATAGACAGAGAGAGACAGAGAGACAGAAAGTGAGAAATCACCCCCCAGGGGGGATGGCCATGCCACAATCCCTTCTCCTCCATTTTCCTCTCGGGATCTTGGGCACGCATGCACACATGCCCGGCGTGAGTTTTAAGCCACCGGGTCCAGGACTTGAACCGTGGTAGACTACATGGGAGTCCAGCGACATAGCCATTACGCTAACTGCTGGTCCCGGTGTTATCTTCATGATGGTAATTCCCTTCCAGCTTTCCAACTCGTGTGGCCTATATTCATAGCAGGTTATCAGTATTCTAAAGCCTTACTGAATGATCTCCAACCACAGCTCACCCAGTCTAATACCCATGCTTCCTCTGAATCTTTAACAGACCCATGCGGACTCCAGAACCCTCCACAGACATTCATGTTATACAAAAAGTTCTTTAAAATTTTGAGCCAAACATCTCTTAAAGTTGCCAGATAAACTCACACTAACCCCCCGTCTGAGGAAACACGTGAATAGTGAACAACTCAGGAGAGCATTATATCCTCTAATGACTATTTGTCTGAGTTTTAAAAATATGACGGCTGGTTCTTTCATATCATGCGGCATATTTCAAGATACCTAAATGAAGACTAAATGATGTACGGTCAGGAAGTGAAACTGAATTTTAATATAGATCAAAGAAAAAGATAATAAGGAAAACAAGTTTGCAAGGACCAGCAGTTGATGTGGTGGTTAAGGTGCTGGATTCCCACATGGCCGACTACGGTTCTAGTCCTGGAACTGAAGGCTTGAAAATCATGCCAGGCAGGGACCAGCAATTGGTGTAATGGCTATGTTGCTGGACTCCCATGGTCGACTACGTGGGAGTCCAGCGACATAGCCATTACGCTAACTGCTGGTTCCCACGAGCCACTTCTTGAGTGCTCAATGGCTCCATCCTGCTGGTGGCTTCTATCCCAGAGGGCACAGACAGAGCATCCCTGAGCACAGAGAGCTGCTGGACCCTGGTACACTAGAGCGTCTCCTGTGACACTGGATCTGCCTCGTGAACTCCTTTCTCCTCTGGCCTACTCATGGGAAACTGCTGTGATTAATTTTGCATTTATCATTTTTTCTTTTAAAAAAACTTTATCATATACTTATGTATCTTTAAATGATTTATCTGGCTTGCTGAAAAACTTCATAAAAGGACCTGGAATGTGCTGTAACTTACTTTTTATAGTTTACCTTATAGGAATACTTGGAGATGATGTTCACTTTCAATGTTCATTGTCTAACAATCCAATGAATGATTATAACACTTTCAACACAAATATTTGCCATTTGCCAGGCACTCTTCCAAGCAATGTAGATAAAATTAATGAATAAAAAAAGACAAAAATCCCTGCCCTTGCTCAAGATTACATTTTCCAGTCAATCGATGTTTACATTTAATTGTATGTTTTTCCTTTCAATATTGTTCCTGTAAAACAACGTTGTAACAGAACAGCTGCACTTAGCGAAAAGATAATTAATCACCTCTGAAAGATATTTATATATACGAATAGGGATGTTGAGCAATGGATTACTTAAGGAAGCCAATAAAAGGTATATGAGGTGTGTGTCTAGATCGGATTTTTAAATGCTTTTTTTTGGAGGGATTAATCTGCTTTTATTTTAGGTGTTCATTTATTTTGATTCTACAAAAAAAACCCCAGAATCCAGGTTTTGAGACATCAAAGACTACAGGGACTCTAGCAAGTAGAAAACTGAAAAAGGAACAGTGATCCAAATTCCTGGCACAGTCCCAGACAACAGACAACCATGAAGAAAGCAGTCAAACAAAAACTCTTGGAGAACTCTGGGCTGATTTTCCTAACGTCTCGCAAGTTTAGCCGACATTTATTCCTGAGGGTCTGTTTTAAAGGATGATTTCTGCAGACTGGAATACCCCTGGGAGTACCATGGAAGTACAGGGCAGAGATAACCCATAGCCCCTCAAATAATAAGGTAAGAAATAATACACGAGTCATATTATAGTACCAAGCAGGTCATGTGATTACTTCCATAAGCACTAGAGGCAAAGAAGATGTTTTTTTTTTTTTTTTTTTTTCCTTAGAGAGGTTTCTGCTATAGGGCACATGTGCTCACCAGAAAGACAGAGAGAGACAGAGAGACAGAAAGCAAGAAATCACCCCCTGGGGGATGGCCACACCGCAATCCCTTCTCCTCCATTCTCCTCTCGGGATCTTAGGCACGCACGCACACGTACCCGGTGTGAGTTTAAGCCACCGAGTCCAGGACTCGAACCGTGGTTGACTACATGAGAGTTCAGCGACATAGCCATTACACCAACTGCTGGTCCCAAGATGTGCTTTCTAACCACAATATAAAGTCACAACTTGTGAAAGCCACCAAAATATGATCCTCTCTCTTAATCAGATATTCCTTATTTACCCAAAGAAATTTCCCATTTTCCTTTGTGCTTTGGAGACTGTATGAACTCTAACTCTAAGACCCATATTCAAAACGACATTACCTGAGATACTGTTACTTACCAGTTCCAATGGATAAGCCACTGCTATTGGAACGGATGGTCTTAGAATTCAATACTTTCTCTGAGGAAAAAATATTAGGTAGGTAAGCACTGTATACAGATCCAGGTAGGCAGAGTGAGAGAACACTAGGGTGTTTTGAGAGAAGTTTGCTCATCCAGGCTCCAGATAACTTTATAATTATTACTTACTGTGTTAGAAATTCATATAAGCCAAGCACCACTAGTTACTCTAATCATACTTGCTAATGTAGCAACTCTCTGCTTTGGCTGATTGTTGGAATCACCTGGGAAGCTTTGGAAAGCAAAGTGCCTAGGTCCCTCCCCAGAGATTCAGATATAATTGGTCAGGGCTAGGGTCTAGACAAAAGGATTTAAAGTTATATTAAAAAACAGTCAAGGAATCAAGAGCTGACCCCCGACAAAGCTTAGGAAATGACATTATTTTGTTCCTACCACTTGGGACGCATCCCTGACCATTATAAGACATTGAGGTAGCCTCTTTCTTGGGACATTTGTGTCTCCAAGAATGTGACCATCAGTACCTCAGGTGTGGGCCCATCCTCTGTCAAAGCCACCCCCCCACACAGAAAACCCTTACCAACTATGAGAATGGTGTGCCAGCCACGACAAGATAGGTCCGGGACGTGATGCAGAGATCCAAAAATAGGGCGAGGCCATGAGGTACAGATATCTGAGCCATGTGGTCTCTCTGTGGGAGTCATTGCCAGGCGGCCATTACCACCATTGCCCCAGGCAAAAATGTGATTATCTAGAAAAAAATGAAACAACAGGTCGTTTAACAGAACGTTGGCTTCCCAAATGTTCCGGTTCTTCATCCTTATGCTCAAGAGCTAGCTTCCCATTACATACTAAATAGGGAAAAACTTTATTCCCCTATTGAAAGCCTAAATTCTTCCTGATTCCAGCCAGGTAGAAATGACCACTGCTCCTATGTACTGCTATTCACTCATTCACTTATTTATTCAATGACTCTAAAAACAGTTGTTTTAAGTTTATTTCTTCCTTGAATGAGAAAGATAGAAACTGAGACAGAGAGCACCCCAACAGTGTCCTGACACTGCAGATCATCCCCAGCATCCGCTGGCCCTGGGTCATGGTTGGCACACTGCTCAGGGAGGTCTCCGGATGCAAACCCCGAGCCTTCCCATGTGGGTCCACCTTGCAGTGTGTTGTGCTTTACTGCTACACCACCACCGAGGCTCTCAACAACTTTTTATTGGTTATTCGAATATTTATGGGACATTTACTTCATGACAGGTCCAGTTCAAGGGATAGAAAGGTAAATAAAACAAAGTCCTTGTCCTTGTGGAACCCACATTTGAATGAATACTTGAGAGGAACTGATGATTCATAAATAAACACGTAATATTTCAGGTAGTGATGAGTGCTATGAAGGAAGATAAACAGTGGTGAAAAATAAGAGGAAATGAAGAGAACAGCGGGGTGGCTTTGCATTACTGTGGATAAGAGTGGCTGGAGAAGTACTTTTGGTTGTTGAGCGGAGATCTGACTGAAGTGAGGGAGAGAGTCTCCAGTCAGAGAGAACAGCAAGGTCAAGGTCCCTGCAAAGGAAATGGCAGTTGCACAAAGGAAAAAGGAGGCCCCTACAGCTGGAGCAAAGTAAGGGAGGGAGGTCAGAGGTGGCTGGGGTCCTGGTCACGCAAGGCTGTGCACGGCAATGTGGTGACTGGTTTTTACTGCCTGATGCAGGAAACATTAGAGGCTCTCAGTAGCAAGTATTTAAAGGGCCCCTCAAGCTATTTGAGGAGAGCACAGGTAGAGTCCAGTTGTGGTGATAAAGCTGGTGAGACGTGGCTGCATAAATTCCAGACAATCAATAGGCATTTGGGCACAGAGTTTTGGGCACATGTGCACACACACTTGGCACATTTTTCAAGCTGCCGTGTCTGGGACTTGAACCCCGTGGGATCTAGCTGCCTTAATCACCACACCACCAACTGGCCCTCTACTCATGCTTTTATCATACTTTTTTTGAAGGCCCCTCATATAGTCACCCTGCCTTTAGAGAACCATCCAGGAGCTAAATGAGTCTGGAGGTCAGGAGTGCTGGTGTAAAGCTGTCAGTGTACAGGAGGGACTTAGGGGAATGAGCTCACACTGATGAGAGGACTGAGCCTTAGGGCACTCCAGGGCTTGAGGAGTTGACGCTGCTATCGTAGCACCCCAGACTTGCCTGGACCAGTCCCTACCCTCCTAGACTGTGAACTCCTTGAGGACAAGGACTTTCTGAGACTCATTTCTTTATTCTCGGACCTTAGAAGAGGACCTGGACATGAGTGAGGTTAGAAAAAATGGCTCAGAGGAGTTCAGGAACATTTGTCAAGAGGTAATATGTCCAGCCATAGAATCCAATTCCACACTCCTCATTCTGAAGTTTAACTTATAAAGATCTATTAAAGAACCATTACTGGGACCAGGAAATGGCATAGGTTAGTTGCTGGACTCCCAAGTAGTTGACTGCAGTTCAAGTCCCAGCTGGACTCCCACGTAGTTGACCACAGTTCAAGTCCCACATCTGGTGGCTTAAAACTCACACCAGGCATGTGTGTGTGCAAGGCCAAGATCCTGAAAGAAGAGTAGAGAAGAAGGGATTGTGGCCATTCCCCCTGGCTTGTGATTTCTCGCTATGTCTCTCAGGCAAGTGCACGCACCCTATAGCAAAAATCTCTCAAAAGAAAAAAAAAGGGGAGGGACCAGCAGTTAGCGTAATGGCTATGTCGCTGGACTTCCACGTAGTCGACTGCGGTTTGTGTCCTGGACCCGGTGGCTTAAAACTCACGCCAGGCATGTGTGCGTGCGTGCCCAAGATCCCGAGAGGAGAATGGAGGAGAAGGGATGGCGGTGTGACCATCCCCCCTGGGGGGGGTGATTTCTCACTTTCTGTCTCTCTCTGTCTGTCTGGCGAGCGCACGCGCCCTATAGTGAAAACCTCTCAAAAAGAAAAAAAAAAAAGAAAAACATTACTGCACTGAGGCCTTGTCAGAAAATGGTACTGAACTTGCTGTACTGGCATCTTGACTCTGTCCTTCTAGGTTCCACTTCCATTTATCTAAGTTGCACCTACAGAGTTTGCTCTTTAGAGTCCCCTATCTGGGGACAAGCAGGAAGGGTTAATGGACGGCTCTGTAAGCTACTTCCCCTAATTACATGTGGTAACAGATCACAGACCATCACTGAACTACTACCCTTGGGAATCCTCCCATGTACACAGCAGGCACAGACCAAAGAAAGAGGATATCTCAGAGCATAACAACAACAAAAGGTGGCGAGTCAAAAGGTAAGAGACGAAATGTGATTTACTGCTCACCAGTGACAAAAAGGAAGTGGCTACAACAATCAAAAAGTTCAGAAGATGGCAAAAGAAGAAAAGAGAAAAATCAAACAAAACAGAAAAATAAAGAGAGCTGAAGAAAGAGAAGAGGAAATGAAGGCCAACGAAAGTCACAGTAAAGAAGAGAAACAGTGAAAGCAGCAAGACACTGCAGAGAGGAAACAGCTGTGAGAGAAAAGAGAGAAGAAAAATCAATGAGATCGATTCAGAAAGCTGAGAGACCAGCAGCCCTTCAACCTTAGCAGTCCCCAAAGCCGTCACTGCAGTGCCACTGACCCCAGCCTGGGAGCAGGCTAACGTGGGCTGTTCTCCCACTCACCTGGCCCATGTTTATGGAAACCAACATGGTGGTGGGCAAGGTATGTACAGAGGACTTAGTAATTCCTGGAAAACTCACCGAAACAGCTAAACTTTAAAAAGAAGAAACTTAGAATATTAACTTGCCATTATCTAGAAATCTGACCTGAAAAAACAATCATTATGTTAGCTACAGGAGAAGTTAATGAAGCCCCATACATCTAACAACTGGTCACCAAGTCAAAAGCAAATGCACAATCCAGCTGTACAAACAACCACTCCACCTCCTTCCCAACCAAGAGTGAAAACAGTTATTATCTGTCCAGGAAGCCTGAAATGACAGGTACAGACTCACCGTCCGTGGCAGCAATGGTAAACTCATCACCGCAGGACACCCTGATCACTTGCTTCCCACCAAGGGGTCCCCCCAACAGGTTGATTCCCAGACGCTTCTTATAATTCCCAACTCCCAGCTGCCCACACTTGTTGCAGCCAAAGGTCAGCAGCCGGCCTCGCTCTGAGAGAGAAGTGAAAATAAGTAATTAGGTACAAATGGGTCAGGGGAGATGCAGCAATGCAGGGTCCACAGACTGGCTTCTGGTTGTCAGAACACACACACAAAGCCGGCTACATACACGTCCTGGGCCCGTGACGTAGGGTGCCTACGCACTGTGACCAAGTAGTGCCTGGGACCCAACTCTGTATTTTCTCTGCAGTGTTGTATTTTTTAACGTGAAAAATGGGTAATACCTAACTTAGAATACTTACATAAGGTGATAGAGACAATGGATGTCTAGAATTCTGTGGTGTTTTCACTAGGGGGTGTATTTACCATGGGTTTCTAATGATGATCAACAATGTACACTTGATTGCCTAATTTGTTAATAAGATAATACTGGATGCGAGGGGGAATAAGGAAGATGTACGTATCATTAAGGAAAAACTAATGCTCGAATAAAGGAGCCTGAGCTACCGAGGCACGTGTCGCAGTTGTAAATCAACTCACCATCGATAGCAGCGGTGTGCGTCTTGCCCGGGGCAATGGTACGGATCTTGTAAAAGGACAACTGTTTGGCCAAGGTAAAGGAGGTTGTGTAGGGCACTTCGTGGTATGCCTGCAACAAGTAAAACACACAGCAAACACTCATAAGGCAAGCCATGGAAGGATCATCAGGCTGAGAATGGAAAGGGTCAAAAACCCGACGGCTTTTCAAGCAAATCATGTTCCCAAGAAAAGGGTGCCAGGCAGCGTTCCATCTCCAGTAGAATACAAAAAAGAAAGAAACTCAATGTGATTACAATCAGAGTTCATTCAGAATGGGGCAGGACTTTCTGCAACAGAAGTTTTAGACACTCAATCAGAGTAGGCAAAGCACAAACTCTCCATCCCTGAAGGTATTTATGTAAGGATAGCAACATTGACATTTGTCGTGGTTATACAGTTGGTGTAAGAATTAAATCCTGAGGACTCTCTGCAGCCATAAAGCAAACAGTTTACTGGGATCTATAAGGTAGTGTTTCTCAACATGTTAAACTCCCAAGTTCCCTTTGAATTAGTATTAAAACATTCCTCTCATGTTGTTTATAATTCAACAACAAATGCAGTGTTATAATAAAACACAAATCAAGTAAAGGCAATTCTGAATATACTTTTTTTTGGGGGGGAGAGGTTTTCGCTATAGGGCACGTGTGCTCGCTAGACAGACAGACAGAGACAGAGAGATAGAAAGCGAGAAATCGCCCCCCAGGAGGGGTAGCCATGCTGCTATCCCTTCTCCTCCGTTCTCCTCTCGGGATCTTGGACACACACGTACACGCGCCCGGCGTGAGTTTAAGCCACCGGGTCCGGGACGTGAACCACGGTCGACTACATGGGAGTCCAGAGACATAGCCATTTCGCTAACTGCTGGTCCCCTGAATATACTTTTTAAAACTTGGCAGTCTAGTTTGAAATTTGTACTGTATTTGATAATAAATACCTCAAATTCGTACTCTATTTGAGAATCACCGCCTCAGATATTGATTAAAAATTAACTTCCCAGGGTTGCCGGTGGCACTGTGGTTAAGGTGGCTGGACTCCACATGGCCAACCACACAGTTCACGCCCCAGACTGGTGGCTGGAAAAACAGGCTGGGCGCATTGGCAAGCAGGCCCAAAATCCCAAGAGAATTGAGAAGGGGTTACTGCATGGCCATCCCCCCTGGGGATCACTTTTCCTATCTCTCCTCTCTTTCTTTGCAGTGAGTACACGTACCCTATGACCAAACTAAAAAAAAAAACAAACAAAAGAAACCTCTTCCCTTTGAGTCAGGAAAGTCTGTACCCTTAATCTGATTCTTTAGAAAATAACCAAAATGTATCTTAGTAACACAAAGAGGAAACTAAGACTTAATATCTCCGATGAATTTTTTTTTTTTGGCGAGGTTTTTCCTATAGGGCGTGGGCACTTGCCAGAAAGACAGAGAGACAGAAAGTGAGAAATCACCCCCCAGTGGGGATGGCCATGTTGTAATCCCTTCTCCTCCATTATCCTCTTGGGATCTTGGGCACACACGCACACCTGCCCAAGTGAGTTTAAGTCACTGGGTCTGGGACTCAAACCGCCGTCGACTACATGGGAGTCCAGTGACGTAGCCATTTTGCCATCTGCTGGTTCCATCTCTAATGAATTTCAAACCATCCTTGAAGGGGGAGAATGATAATTTAATAAGCCTATACAGGATCAATGTTAATAGAGAAATAAACCTTAAACTCTTCAAGGAGTTGACACATGGAAATATGTTTTTTTTCCCATAATGTTAATTTTCTTGTCCCTATTTCAATGAGGTGGACCCTGAATTCCATCATTTTATTCTTTGTAACTATTTCCTGAGGTATAGCTAACATACTGCAAAATACCACACAGCCTGATCTGTTTCTCCACATGCATATACTTGTACAAGCAGCACCCAGATCAAGGTAAATCCAATGACATCATGCTAGCGTAACCTCTCTCACCTCCGTTGTCAGAGATAACCACTATTTGACTTCTGCTGCCATAAGTTAACTTTGTTTCTTTTTGGAGGTTTATGCCTTAGGGTATGTACACTCACTGGAGAGACACAGATCCAGTGAGAGGGAAAATAGAAATCACCCCCCAGAAGGGACGGCCACACTGCAATCCATTCTCCTCCCGGGATCTTGGGCATGCATGCACATGTGCCCGGCATGGTTTTCAAGCCACCGGGTCTAGGACTTGAACTGTGGGAATCCAGTGACATAACTGCTACACCATCTGCTGGTCTCTTCTTTTTATTTTAATTTCTTTTCTTTATTCATGATAGAGTGCATGTATGTGCACACTGAGAACGAGAGAGATGAGTGGCTTTCACAGGGTTTGGTCCGGCCATGATCGCCCTTCTGCAGTCCTCCAGCCTGCTGGATCCTGGGCATCATACATGTGCCCACTGTGCTTCAGGCTGGCTGGGCAGCGGATCTCCACTGTGGGCACCACGTGGGATCTGGATTCTCTTGAGCAGCATTCCCACTGTGCCACAGAGCTACCCAAGTTCTTGAACTACGTGTAATTGGAATTATATGACAAGCACTCTTTTATGGCTGGCTTTTTTTTTTTCCCCCAGAACAAAAAGTCTGTGATGCACTGCTTTATTCTCAAGGCAAACTCCATAGTCCCTAGCCAATGGTAACATCCCAAAGAAATTCCAGTTTAGCAGTTCTGACAATGTGGTGAAGACACCAAAGGGGACACTCACTTCATGGTTGATGATTCCAGACATGCACTGATTCAGACCCAATTTGTTGAACTCATTAAGTCCACAGGCCAGGACTTTGCCTGACTGGGTCAGCAGAAATGTCCCATCACAGCCACATTGAACTGCGACAATAATCAAGGCCTTGGGAACATCCACCTACAAGAAAAAAGAAAATTAGGAAAAAATAATCCCAAATACATAACTCATACAAATTCTTTCAAAAGCGACATGCTGCATCTATCAGAATGGCTACAGGGGAGTCAGGTTCGCTCCTTTCTCTTAAGGTTTACCCTGCAGATCAGAGAGACTATGATTTTCAAAAAGGTACTCAAGTTTTAAAACCTAAAAGAAAAGGCAGCAGTTCTAAGTCAGTTGAACAGATCACCCCTGCCAGGTTATTCTCACGGTATGTCCTTCTCCAAGAGACTTGTCAGAAGTTGGGAAAGGAGAAGCTTCAATCCGTGGCTGATTCTGTCCTCTAAGAGGGAAGGTTCCTTGACAGTTATAGAAGAAACTCAGTACTTCTGTGGGGTCCCAACGTACTCATTTTATAAGAGAGGTGACAGAGTACTAAGCAGCAGCAAGCACAGCTAACTAGACAGGACTGGAGGACGGCAGGGTGATAGAAGAGAGGCAGCCTCCCCAACAAGGAGATGATGCCACAGTTCACTCCCGGATTCAGCCAGTCCTGGGCCACGGCACATGCACAACCCAGACACAAAAGCGCAGCCTTCCCATGTGGGCCGGCCTTGCAGAGCTCATGTTTTTCCCCTACACCATCATCCAGTTCCTATAATTTGACTTTTGAAATATAAATAAAAACTGGTAATAGTTAATGATACAGTTGATGGCAGTCAACCCCCCTGGAGGGAATCCTGTGCCCTATGCTGGGTTTGAGAGAGACAGAGCCATGCCTTTCCCTTGGCTTGCTTCAGCGCCTGTGAGCCTCTCACAGTGCCAGCCCTGGCAGTGCCGGGAGTATTCAGACTTTGTTTCATATGATGTAGCCCCTAGACAAAAGCGACTACAGTATTTCACCTGCTTTTCAACTGTAGAGATAGGAGGGGGAAGGAGCTGTACTGAGTCTAGAGAGAGTATATTCCTACTACCTTCTGCTATCTTGAGGCATTTTCCAGGGTACACTTCGCTATTATGTGGCTTTTCGGCTACACATGCTGATTCTAGCTCTCATCTGAGTAAGAAGTTGACTCCACAATGTCCGCAGTGGCTGTATCTGCATTCTCAATTTTCTATAATTTAGCCAGATGACAAGACTACATACGGCTAAATTAGGAATCTTAAATTTTCAGTCTCCCAGATGGAAATATTTCAGAAACAAACATCTTGATACAAGGAATCAGAAACAAAGGACATACTATAGAGGATATAGTACAATATATAGTATAAAGCCCGTGACAGGCTTCATAAAAAGGTTGCTCCTGATTTTACCTTTTGTGGTGTGTAATAATCCTCTTCTGAATCCAGACCTAGTCGTCCTGAAACATACATATGAGAGACAATCATTATAAAATGAGGGCCTTCTTCTCAATGAAGATGTTCTAGAATGTTCTCTTACTGAATTAACACTTCTCAAATAGAGGCTGCTATTGGGTTGTCAGAAAAGTCCTGATGCATTTCTATGTTTTTCTATGCAAAAATGCTCATGACTTTTCCAAAAACACAACACATGATGTCTTCAGACGCATATACACTTGAAGCTGGGTTGTGTGGGAAGAAGTGGACAAAGTGACACCTACCATATTCGCCACAGCCCCAGGAATAGACTTCCTTGTTTCGTGTCAGAACGACCACATGATTATCTCCACAGGAGACCTGCTCCACTGGGTTGTTGAGGAAGAAGTTCAGCTGCATGGGTTCTAGCACCTCAGGGCCAGCGACCTTGTCCACTCCCATGCAGCCATAATAATCCGATCCAAAGGCATAGAGCTGACCCTCATCTGTATGAGGAAGGAAAACAGAACCCATCAAACTGATTTATTCTGTCCAGTCAGAAAGCTGGCAGGGCTGGAATGAGGACTACGCTTGCTAACAACCACTCATGAGATGATTACATCAGAGAAATCCAAAGAATGGGCTATGCAAGTCTAAAGTTGTTTGTAGTTAGGGTTCGACGTGTACTGGTTTATTATAGCACACAGTTTAAAAAGTGATAGTGTTATCATGTTAACAGGGCTTAAAATTCTGGTGGAGCCTCCTCTGTTTTAAAGACCACAGAATCATGAAGTGAATCATGACAAGATCCAAACTAAATTTAGCTCTGGCTCCTGGTTTTGTTACCTATAAGCTGACGAGTAGCAAGGCCACACACAAATGGGACGCACAACACACTACAACACACTTCTCCTCTTTGTTATCCACCTGCCTTCTCCTGCCACACCACCTCCCCATACCACAGCAACCTAGGCCTTTTTAAAATTTCTGCTGTAGGGCATGTGCACTTGCCTGGAGAGAGAGGGAAAGTGAGAAAGCACTCCCCAGAAGGGATGACTATGCTGTAATTCCATCTCCTCTATTCTCCCCTTGAAATGCTGGGCACTCATGCACATGTGCTGACATCTTTTCTAAGCTGATGGGTCTGACTTGGACTGCACAGTTGGCCATGTGGGATCCAGCTGCCTTAACCACTGTGCCACTGGCTGGCCATCGGGCATGCTGTTATAAGAGTATATTTGCTCAATGCCTTTTGGCTCTCTGAATATTGTCTTTTGTTATAAAATCCCAACTACCACTACACAGTACCAAGCCCAGTACTCCACATTAAATGCACTTAAGTTTT